CTATTAGGGTAGTCACTCACAAGCTAAGGATTTATTGTGCCCAGTGCTCTTTGGGGAGCCCCTGTTTGCAGTGGATTCATCCGGATGTAGGGAGTGCAGCGCTCTTTGGGGAGCCCTTGCCAGTGGAGGATTCATCTGGGTGTACAGAGGGCTCTTCTTTTTTGGAGAGCACTTACCAGTGGAGGATTCATCCGGGTGTACACAGCGCAGTTCTCTTTGGGGAGCCCCTGCCTGCAGTGGATTCATCCATATGTGTGGAGTCGGAGTGCAGTGCTCTTTGGGGAGCCCCCGCCAGTGGAGGATTTACCAGGGTTGTATGGGGCGCAGTGCTCTTTAGGGAGCGCCCGTCAGTGGAGGATTCATCCCGGTGTACAGAGCGCAGTGCTCTTTGGGGAGCCCCCTCCAGTTGAGGATTTATCTGAGTGTATTGACCGCAGTGCTCTTTGGGGAGCCTCTGCCAGCGGAAAATGTATCTGGGTGTATGGGGAGCATACCGAATAGCATTTGAAGTATAAGAAGATTAAATGTAGCAATTCATAATTAAGATGTAATCATATATTTTTTACACTCATGGTCCACGCTCTTTCGGAAGCCCACTCCAGTGGAGGATTCATCCAAGTGTATTGAGCGCAGCGCTTTTTGGGGAGCCCCCGCCATCAGAGGATTCATCCGGGTGTACAGAGCGCAGTGCTCTTTGGGGAGCCCCTGCCAGCGGAGGATTCATCCGGGTGTACAGAGCGCAGGGTGGGTAGCGCGGAAGTAATCCACCCAGCTGTAGTGTGAAGGGAAGACTCTGCACTTTGTGTTCTCAGACACAGCCCCGGGGGGAACGGCTGTCTTTCACTATCTCCCTCTCCATCCCAGGGAAATGTAACGTATAAATTCTGCTCTGCCGTGAAGAAGTTCTCTATGGGGAAAAAAAAATCTATTTATTTCTCAGATCCGCGCAGCTCGCTGATGGTTCATGCCTGCTGAATTTACTGGTCTGCGTTTTACAAGTCTATTGAGTAAGATGCTCTGTCGGTCAAACAGACGTTCCAGTGAAATGGTTTATGAAAAAGAGCAGCTACAGAAAATAGAATCCTAAAAAGCAGAGAAAAGTCTGACAAGTGAATAAAGCAGAACTCTGAAAATGGCGGCTAACCCTTCCCCTCCCTATCCAAAACTAGGAAAAGAACTTTGGCTGTGGCTGGACAATTGGACATGCACTTTAATGGGGCAGTATAAGCCTATGACTTAGTTACATAGTATTTGAGGTTGAATAAAGACATGAGTCCATCAAGTCCAACCAATTGTGTGTATGCATTTATGAGCTGGTGTGTGCGTGTATATGTGTCCATGTGTGATTTTTCTCTTAGCAATACCTGTACCCCTGAATGTTATGGTCTCCCAGGAACTCGTCCAGGAGTCTCTTGAATGATTCCACACTCTTAGCTGAAATCACTTCCTGTGGCAGCGAGTTCCGGACCTTAACCGCTCTAACTGTGAAGAACCCCCTGCGCCCTGACTTGACCTTCCCAGAGTTCTTCTTTACATAGTTACATAGTATTTGAGGTTGAAAAAAGACATAAGTCCATCAAGTCCAACCTATTGCGTGTATGCATTTATGTTTGAGCTGGTGTGTGTGTGTACGAGTCCATGTGTGATCTTGCTCTTAGGAGTACCTGTACCTCTGTATGTTATGGTCTCCGAGGAACTCGTCCAGGAGTTTCTTGAATTATTCCACACTCTCAGCTGAAATCACTTCCTGCGGCAGTAAATTCCAGACCCTAAACCGCTCTGACTGGGAAGAACCCCTTGCGCCCCTTGTGTTGAAAATTTTTTTCCACCAATTTTTCGTAGTGCCCTCTGGTCTTTGTTACGTCGCTAACCGTGAAGAGTTTGTTAGTAATGTTGCTGTTGCCATTGAACAGTTTATACAAGAAAATCATGTCCCCCCTTAAAGAACTATGGGGTCAGGGCTTTTCCACATAGTTCTCCTAAGGGTAACAAGAGGACACAAACTAGCGTCCTCCCGTCACCCTAGGCTCAGTATATAGGGAGCTACAGCTCGCGGTATACTGAGACGCCGCAGCCGGAACGGATCCCGACATCGATGTCAAGATCCGCCCAGCTGCGTGAGTGACAGCTGTCTCTGCCTATCTAGAGGCAGAACCAGCTGTACCCGCCCCCTCCCCGTCCGTTCCGCCTGTCAGCGCTGGCGGAGCGGGGAGGGGGGAATCCAGCCCCTCCCCTGTCACGGCAGAGAGCCGTGACAGGATCGAGAGGTGAGCGAACGCCGGTATGTGTTCGCTCACCTCCCTATCTACTGAGCCGACCTGTGACAGTCTCATTGTCACAGGTCGGCTAGAACTATGAGGTGAGTGAAAAGCCCCTCCCCCTCATAGTTCTCCTTTAATCTCCTAACCTCCAAAGAGAACATATTTAATTTTAACAACCTTGTTTCATAGTTCAGGTCCTCCAACCCCGTAATGAGTTTGGTTGCCCTCCGCTGGACTTTTTATAGCTCAAGGACATCTTTTCTGAGTATCGGTGACCAAAACTGGACCGCATACTCCAGATGAGGTCGAACCAACGATCTGTAAAGTGGCAAAATTATAGACTTGTCCCTGCAATACATTCCCTTCTTAATGCAAGACAGGACTGCGCTTGCTTTGTTTACAGCAGCCTGGCATTTGCGAGATGTTCTTCAATCTGCGGTCTATAATGTCCCCCAAATCCTTCTCCGTTTCCGACTTCCCTAGTGGCACACCCAATCTTTAGATTTGACATTTATATTGTATTTGCTGTATATTCTTTTATTTAAAGTCGGTTCCTTTTATAAAACCATTGACGCGCTCTCTTCTATTCTTCAGGTGGATGCCGACGATGTCATCACCAAAGAGGAACAGATCTACCTCCTTGGCATAGCAAAAGGAGAATGTGAACAAAAGTTGAATCTGAAGACAACAAGTGAGTGTTACCGTCATATCTGGTGAATACATCCAATTATAGGGTGAATACCGGTCACATTCACAGAGAGCGGGGGAATGAATGAACGGATATAGGGTTTGCTTTGGCCCCCGTACCAATTCACTTACACTACAGAATCATCCACGCCATAATCTCTCTGCGCCCACACAATGCTCATGGACCTCTGGCAGAGTCTTTTGGGAGTGCCATGTTATTATTGCATATTTTCCCCCTATTGGACCCTAAAAAACTCACCGGTAGGGTTATAGGGCTGAACTCCAATTTTATATATTTTTTTTTTCATTTCAATTCCGAATCCAATTTGTAACATTATAAATGGGGACAATTTCAGTAAAATATGCAAATAACGGGCAAGTTATGATCCTGGAAGGGGTAACATTAGCAGATGTTTAATGATCCAATGGCACTTTGTTTTGCTTTGTAAACTTTTCCAGCTATTTGTTGATCTGATTCTTGTAGCAAAGCCAAAGAAACGAACCCGGTAAATGTCCTTTTACTATACAACAAATATTACATGTATAAACTACTTGGTTACAGGTAATGCAATACATACTGTACAGGACGCCAGGAATGGGTCCTGGATGGACGGTATATCCCTCCCCTTGTTTAGGTGGGTGGTCCCGTTGAGGTCGCCTTGTATTCAGGGTTCTCGCCAAGCAGGGTGAGGGGTTCCGGGTCGGACTTGTAAGGGAAACTGCTAGGCAGTCTTCCCAGACTTGTTAATCATACATGGGGTCCCAGAATCCGGAGGCTCAGAGAGATTTTTGGGTGGGACAGAACCTCCATCCCTGACTACAGCCAATTCTGGTAATGGAAGGGTTAACCCACCAGCCAGAGGGTGGCATTTCATAAGTGGTGACACCAAAATGACTGTCAGTCATTTTGGTGTCAGCCCTCCAATGGTGGCACCCCCCTTGTGACGCCACTGCATATGAGTACTGTATGTGGGACCCCAGGAACGTGTCAGCCATCGCTGACCATTGCAGCGTGCGGATGGGAGAGGCGTGGCCTGGGTTTCATACCCTTTAAGTGTTCTCTTCATCAGAAATTTCAGCCGGTGGGATGATGACAGCGCTCTGTGTATATGCCGGGGAGCTCGTGTATGACAGGCTCTGGGAAAATATCTTATCTGAGCTTCTATCTGGAAGATTATTTCGGTCTATAGAAACATTTTCTTCTGAGATAAAAATCTGTATATACATTGCTCTGTGCGAGACGCCGGCTTATGGGAATCGCTCTGCAGCAGACATCCGAGGAAGAGAAGGAGGCGGGAAATCATGTTTTCACTGCTCAGAACTTCTTTCTACATGAGAATGTTTTTTTTCTAAATGTCTGAAGCCGTGAGAATGTTTAACTAGAGAGAGAGAGATGGATGATAGATGGGAGGGTGATACATGGGTGGGTGATAGAGGGGCGGGTGATAGATGGATGGGTGATAGATGGGTGGGTGATAGAGGGGCGGGTGATAGATGGGCGGGTGATAGAGGGGC